GTGACATGGGCAGAAGGGGGCCAAATGCTGTATTCCTTCACTGACACAAAGCTCCACTTTTTATTTTCTCCATCTGAAACCCCATGCCAACTGTCCCATGCACTGACACCCATCTGAGCGCATGCAAGAGGCACCATATCTGCCAGTAGAGCCGAGCCACAGCCTCCTGGACGCTGTCACCCAGCGAAGGCATGCAGGCCGACTGTGCCACTCCAACACGGAACCCTCTCTGTTGCCTTTAGAAACAGGGCTGAACCGATGCTTATCTCTGGAACTCATCCTCAGTGTCCCCCAAATCCTACACTCTGCACAAGCACAACTCTGAAAGGCTGCACCCCGACATCTGTGCACACAGCTGAGGCACGGCAACCCCAGCCGGGACGCGGCGGCACAACCAAGTCTGGTCAACGTTCCCTCCACGAGGCACTGCCTCGGCTTGAATAAAATCAACTTATGAAAAATAAAAATCTGTTATAGTCACTCAGTAAAAATATGGCCTATTAAGTTTAGATTCTGCATGTATCGTAATAGAAATCTGGAAACACTGGACCTCATATTTTGCATCATAGACTGTCAGGCCACACGAGGGCTTTGACGCTGTGCATGTTGTTACTCCACAGATAAACGCTTCGCTCACTCTGTTAACAGAGAAGTCTCATGGAAGCAGGACTTCAGGGTAGAGACCAGAGTCCCTGAGGCTCCATCTACTTGGGATACAGCCTTTTAGAGTTGTGCGTGTGCAGTGTGCAGAGTGAGGACAAGAACAAGAGCCGCGCACCTGCAAACTCACTCACACTTCCTCCTCTCCACCATCTGTCCTCCTGGGATGCCACGAGGCAGAACAACATCTTCTGCCAAGGGCTTGTGACAGCTTGAGTAAGACCAGTCTCCCACCTTCTTTGAGAAAAGGCAGTGTCCGCAACACCTGCCAGCTCTGTTCCAGTTTAAACATTGGACCACAGGGAAGGTGTACCCGCCACCATCATTACCACAACACAGGGGAAAGGGAGCGGCCACAGAGCTCCAGCCACACGCTGTCACATGCAGAACACAAGCATCCGGCTGTCCTCACCGTCGCTCTGGGTGGGGTTTGCCATCGACGCTCTGAGCTCTCCCAGTGCAGCCGTGAGTAATCCCAGGGGCGCTTCAGCACAGCTGGGTTCTGCCCTGATTCCTGGGGCTGTGTCTGAGAGAGGGGTGGGCAGTTTTAACAATTGGGCCAGATAGGAAACACATTCAACAGGACTCTTCATCACAAAAAGAGAGGCCTCACACGCTAGAACGCAGAACTGCTAATTTCCACAATTCCTATGTACACAGACAGCAGACAGATGAACTCCTCCCCCCGATACTGGATGCTGTCATATAAAAATTAAAACATTTACAAATAAGTTTAAGAAAAAAATCGTTTCTGTGTACACCATCGCCACACCTGTGAAAAGCACATGTATAGTGAAAAAAGACCAAAAGCCCAGCCCAGGGAGGGTAAGGGGCAGGGGACAGAATCATGATGGAAGACGATTTATTCCACTTCTTAGACTTCTAAGCTTCATGGTATAACGTTTTTACAACAGGATATGAAAGAAGACTGGGAATCAGTGTACAAGAGATAATCACCAGTTCTCAACATACACTTAACAGATTTACTAAAAAAGACTAGACATGATTACACATTTGAAGAAGATATTTGTTCAAACCTTCAACACACCATCTTCATTATGAAAAGGAAGACACACTGTGTGTTTTAACAGCAAAACACAGTCAAGCTCTGGGGCTGCTGGGGAAGACGGCTGCTGTGCGCACAGGTCTTACCCACCATAACACTGGCAGCTGAAGGCTCTGCGGCTCTGCGCACGCGCCCATCAGATGGGCTGTTAAGAAAGCAGCAGGGGTGGGGAGGACATCTCTCTCGAGGACCCTTACACTACAGAGCACACAGCCCTACAGCCCCCCCACACCCAGGACAACTGTGAGCTGTGTCAACAGTGGTCCAAACAGTGAGATCACGGGCTTTCCTTCTATGCTCACCCAAGTTTCCTGGGTCTCCATAGCTGTTCGAAATTACCCAAGCTTATGAAAGAAGAGGTTTTGGCAAATGGACTAGAAAATAAGACAGCAATTTAGAATAGTCTCAGTGAGCCTACCTGGCCCTGCAGATGTAAGAGGAACTGAAAAAGCAAACACAAACACTGCTTCCTCAGGGAGGCTGACAGGAACGACGAACATCACGAAACACCAGGCCTCTCCTGACAGCACCTCTCACTACTGCCCCGGCAGCTGGCAGAGCCACAGCCCTGGGAAGAACAGGGCCAGCAGGAATAAGCCAGCAGGAAGAAGCCAGCAGTCTGCACAGCTGCCCCTGGCCCTGGCACTTCACTGGTTCATGGTCTCATGGATTTGACCTCAGTGGACATCACTGCTCCCCATAAGCAGAAAGACCCCCGACTCACACAACCAACTGAACTGTGTGGACAGTCAGAAAGCTATCACACTTGACTCCCAATGACACACTTCAGACAACAGGCCTCAGAGGTGACAGTCCAGACCTCCAGCTGGCTGCACCTGAATCTAAAGCTTGAACACAGGAGAAGAACACAGAAAACACATCCCAACCTCAGCTGGCATCTGTAAAGATGACAGATAATAAGGTGGGATTTCATACTGCATACAATGGGTTCCAGAAAGTGCTGAGTCAGGCAACTTTTCAGGACCTCTGAGGCTAAGAGCCTGTGAGTGAATGAGCTCACACTGGCCCGTCCAGTGCCACAACTGGGCCATCTGCATCCAAGCTCCAGACCAAGCTTGCCTGACCTAACACACGCCTTTACCGCCGTGGGTGTCAGATGATGGAGGCTCATCCTCAGGGGATGGGTGGTACCAGCCCCGGTAAGCCTTACCTTCTAGTGGCTTCTCTTCAGCCGTGGAGCAGGCATGACAGTACATGGAGTATAGAGATGGGGGAATTTTATTTGCTCTGGATCAGAAGAAAACAGGAACGTCACGTCAGCTATCACTCAAAATTCTCAAATTTACAATTCCAAAAACTATTATAAAATAAAAAATACATAAAAATTTGAATAAATTATAGAATTTAATAAATTTTAATTTATTAAAATACAATTTTAATAAATTATATAAAAACTGAATAGGTTATACAATTAATTGTACAGTATAATCCTGCTTTTAGGAAAAAGCATACATATGATTAGAAATATATATATATGAATTTAAATGGTACTTCCTGTTTCATGATGTCACAGATTAGTCATCTATTAATATGTGGAAGGCCAGACAACATGCCAGCAGTGGTTACATTGGGTGTGGAAATAATAAGTGATTTTTGTTTCTCCCATTCAGTTTCTGGTAATTTCCAAATTCAAAAAATGAACTTATATTCGTTTTAATAAATAATGTAAGAAAAACACCCAATTAATGTCATTAAAAATATTCAGAATTATAAAAATCAAGTCCTGTAATAAGGATGTTGGGCATTCCCACAAGCCAGTACTGATGTGTACAATGTAACAATGACAATGGCCATCAAGTCACCTTCGAGCAGCAGGAGCCATGAGCAGCTAGCTGTGGGACAGAGCAGGTATATGCCACAGTGCTCTGTGCAGTGCCAGCCCAAGCAGGTCTGTCACGCCTGCACTGGGTGCTTCCAGCAAGGCTCTGAGCAAGGCCAGCACTGAGAATGCACATAGAAGGCTGAGGTGGAGAGCATGGCACACATGTGTGGACAGGACAGAGCTGTGAGCTGTCCCCAAGGTGCCCTGCACACCGAGCTTGACAACGTGCACACAGAAAAGAAGCACACCAAGAACCTACCAAGGTGGGCCAGAGGGAGGCAGAGGACTTGCCCAGCCTGAAGATGAAGAACTAGGCAGACCACCTTCTGCCTTGGTGACTGGAAAGACCCTCGCTTAAAAAATATAAAGCACCTCATAGAAAAAGGAAAAGTCAATTCAAGGAGATGGATATATTCACAGAAAACTTCAGACATCACTACCATTAACATCCCTGGAGAGGTAACAGAACACTGCAGCTATGAGACGAGAATAGACTGCCATACAGAAAGGAACATTCTGATAACAGAAAAGAAAAACTCCATGAAAGGACTGGCAGGTAAAGTGGAAAAAATCTCCTAGAAAGAAGAGAGAGAGAGAAAAAAAAGATGTAAAATATGACAGAAAAGATAAAAACAACAACAACAACAAAAAACAGATGACCAATCCATGAGGCCTAATACCTGAAAAACTGAAGTTCCAAGGAGAAAAAAACACAGAAGGGAGGAAATCTCCAAAGAAACATTCAAGGCGAAATAGTCAGTGTCTGGGATTTCCTTCAAAATTATTCACAACAGTGGGTGGGTGGGTGGATGTGACGGGTAGATTAACCAAGACCAGCCACTGACTGACAACTTTAAAAGGGTTGGTGATAGATACTATTATTCTCTCTACTTTTCTGTTTGAAATTTTTCGTAACAAAAGGTTTAGATATATTCAAGAAAACTTCTTAGTACTGAAGGACATGAGCTTCCAAAGGCCCACCATGTGCACAGCCAAGAAACAGAATCAGACCCACATCAAAATACACTGCGGTAGAATTTTAGAACACAGGGATGAGAAGACACTACACTCCCCCAGAGAGAAAAGAACAGACCACTTGCAAGTAGTCTCCAGAAGAGAGAAAAGGACAGAGAGAATATCTGAAAAAGTAATGGCTGAAACCTCCCAAATTTGATGAAAGACATGAATGTAAACATCCAAGCAGCTCAATGAACTCCAAGTAGGGTGAACTCAAAGAGACCCCCACCGAGATGCATTAAATCAAACTTTCAAAAGGCAGAGACAAAGAGAAAATCTTGAAAGAAGCGAGAGAGAAGTGACATACAAGAGGTCCTCAATGAGATTATCGGCAGGTTTCTCATCAGAAGCTTTGGGGCCAGAAGGCAGCAGACTGATAAATTTTTAAGTGCTAAAAGAAAAAAGCTGTCAACCAGGAATCCTGTATCTGACAAGACTGTCCTTGAGAAGTGAGGGAGCAATGAGGACATTCCCAGATAAACACACACTGAGGTTTCACCACCACCAGACCTGCCCTGAGAGGACACTCGAGGGAGTCCTGCCTCGAAGCCACACGAAGAAATAAAGATCTCAATGAAGGTAAATCATGGGCAATTTTAAAAGCTAGTATCATGGTGTGCAGCAGTTTATAACTCCACTTTTTGTTTTCTACATGATTTAAGAGACTAAGACACTTAAAAAAAAATAAAACAATTAGTCTAAAGGCTGGTATTATTGTTACTTTGCTTTATAACTCCGTATTTTGTTTTCCATATAACTTAAGACACTAATGCACTTACAGGAACTTCTGCTGTTTCTGGGCACACACGTATGATGATGTAATTCTGTAACATCAGCAACTAAAAGGAGTGGGAAGCAGCAGTAGGGAGTGGTTTCTAACATGTTATTGAAGTTAAATAGGTATAAATTCAAATTAGAGTGCTAGAACTTTAGGACATTAAATGAAATCCCCATGGTAACAACAAAGAAAACAGCTACAGAATATACACCAAAAAAAAAAAAAAGAAAGGAATTTAAACATTTCACAAAAAATCAACTAAACATGAAACAAGACTGTAAGGCAGAAAACGAGGGACGAAAACCTAGAAGGCGTTTTTGGAAAACAGCAAAATGACATAAGCAAGTCCCTCCTCGTCCACCACGCCTTGAACTGAGCACCCTCTCCAATCAAATGACAGAGAAGAGCAGGACAAATAAAAACACATGCTCCAGGGCTGGCCCGGTGGCTCACTGCTACAGTGCGCCGCTTGGGAGCGCGGCGGCACTCCCGCCGAGGGTTCGGATCCCACATACAGACCGGCCACTCACTGGCTGAGCGAGGTGTGGGCGCAACACCGAGGGTTGCGATCCCATTCCGGTACGGGCGTGACACTGAGGGTTGCGATCCATTGCCGGTCACAAAAAAAAGACAAAAAGGAAAAAAAAAAACAAAAAAATCCCACATGCTCCAACTATGTGCTGTCCAGGGACTCTCTCTAGATCCAAAGACACAAAGAGGCTGAAGGGGAAAGACGTTCCACGCAAAGAGTAATTAACCCGAAAGAGAGCAGAGCCAGACAAAACAGACTTTAATCAAAAAAGTTCACAACAGATAAAGAAAAACGTTATGTATTTACTGCTGGTGGGAATGTAAAATGGCGTAGCTGTTATGGAGAACAGTACAGTGGTTCCTTAAAAAATTGAAAATACAATTACCACATGATCCAGCAATTCCATTTCTGAATATATACCCCCAAAAATTGAAAATGGTCTCAAAGAGATATTTGTACATCCATGTTCACAGCAGCATTATTCACAATAGTCAAATGTGGAGGCAGCCTACGTGTCCACTGACGAATGAACAAGCAACACGCGGTCCACCCAAACGGTAATGTTGTGCAGCCTTAATTAAAGAGGAAGGGGGGCTGGCCCGGTGGCGCACTCGGTAGAGTGCGGCACTTGGGAGTGTGGTGGCGCTCCGCCGAGTGTTCGGATCCCATATAGAGACCGGTCTGCCCACTCTCACTGGTTGAGCGCGGTGCAGGTGTGACACCGAGGGTTGCGATCCCGTTACTGGTCACGGGAGGGAGGGAGGGAGGGAGGGA